TTTCTGACAGACATGGAAGTACCTGGAAATTGCTTATGGTGAGGATGGAAGTCCTAGTTTCGGACAGGAAGACGAGTACATCATGACCTTCGATGTACAGTAAGTGGCTTTGATGCTTCTGCTTTAAAGGAAAGGACCTAAACCACTGCCAACTCAAACAGAAATCAGAGGACAAACAAAGAATGAATATGCCGCTATCTCCTCCAGGCTGCTGCTGCTTGCAGGTCAGGCACAGAGAAGAAACATCCATTTTGTCTCATCCTCCAGGCTTTGCAATGACTTTGTAAGCAACACTTGTAACCGCTTGCTACTTAAAATTTTCAGCACATAAGCCTCTGGGCTGTGTATTCTTTCTGTTTCTTATTATTGTCAGTACTAATCCTGCCATATTGTTAAGGGACTGCATCACAGCTAAGGGCTCTGCTGTATTAAGCACTGAGCCAATACCGCTCAAAAGCTTCACAACCCTCAGCTTTCCAAACACAGTGGTAAATCTTTGAGTAATATTTTCAGTCATGCCAAAATGACTTGGGCCCCTAAGCCATCACTGACTTAGAGATGTACGTTTGTATTGACAAAAGCATTTATGCCTTGCTTTGTTCAGCCTCACTCAGTGTCTGTCTGTACTTCTACGTGCCAAAGGGCAAGAGACAAGGAGACATCCATGCAAAACTTCCAGTTCATCCTTCTTTTACTGCTGTTGAGTTACCTTGCATGCATGGTGGTACTCAAGCTGCCAGAGTAACGTTAGAAATACACACACATCTATCTCTCCCACACAGAAACATTTAATTCTTTGTGAGATTTACAGTGAGAGGAGCAAATGTTTTGGGACAATGACTTCTGGCTTTCCCCCTCTTAATTCCTGGTGCCTCAGTCATTTATTTACAGAGCAAATCTCCCAAAGCTGACAGATTCTGATTGCACTAAGCTGATGAAATATACGCACTTTCCTGCCAACTAAGGAGATATTTCTCAGATAATCCAGCCGACTGGCAGCATAGTGTCTCTCAGGAAATGTTTTGCAAAGGCATCCCGTCTGATTTGGTGCAGGAGCTTGCAGGAGCTCCAGGCGGCGGCTGAGACAGGGCAAACTGGCTGCCACACCATGAGCTGATGGCTCTGCAGAGCCGGTGCCCGTGGCAGCCCCATCCAGGGCCAACGCGGAGAGGTTCAGCTGGGTGGTGGGGGATGCTGACACCAGCCCGTCTCCATGCTCCCAGCAGCCGGAGAAAGGGCTCAGCTCCACTGTCTTCAGATGTCTCCTCCCAGGCCGTGCCATGGTGCCTGAAGTCCCCCCAGTGTGCTCCACCATTAGGAAAGCAAGGCGCATGGGGATTTTTAGCAAAGATGCAAGAAGTGGGCTCCTGACACTGTCTTGAGCTATTTTCTAGGAGTAACTGAAACTGTTTTCCTTCACAGCTGCACATACTTTAGTGTAAGTTTATGTGTGAACACTCACTTAGGAGTAAGAATTTCCTATCTTGACTTAATTAAAGTTACTTAAAAAAAATAAATCTTCTTAAATTAAGTCAAGCCTCTTAATTTTGTCCTCACGTAGCTTTGTACCAGAATTGCTGGAAGCATGAATTAGACCAGATGTAGTCAATTCAGTTCCAGCATGTGTGCTGAGGAAATGCTCCTGTGAACTGATCATCTGAGGATTTTGCAATATATTTCTTGTCAGCAGTCTCAACGAAGCACTTCAAGGCCTAAGCCGCAGCAGCATGGTTGGACGACAGAATCCATAAACAGCTCACCGTGGCCTGTGATTAAAATAGAAAATGGCTTATTTAACTTCAGGCACAAATCCCATCACAGAGCTTGGCCCAAATCCAGAAGTGCTTCCTGAGGTCAGGGAGAATTCACAGTCTGAACAGAGGTCATGGCAATGCCTGGCTTCTTGCCATAACGGTTAATCAGAAAATGATTATAAAAGTAAAATTGGTGATGCCTACAAAGTGCCTGTAAGGACACATCAAGTAACGTATTGTGCTTTCTGTGCTAGCTACTTCTGTACACAGAGAGCCCACTGACTGCTCATTCTTCTACACAGAAAGAAAGACAACCCAACTCTTAGTCAAAAAGCATAGTGTCCCATACATATGCCTCCCTAAAGACAGCAAAAAATCCTGGAGCAATGCAGCAACTAATATTTACTTATCTACCAGGAGTAGTTTTTCTCTGCTGGGCTCTAAAGGAACGAGAGAGAAGGCTGAGGGGTCAGCTTCCTCAGGCCAGAATTTAAAAATCATCATACTTGTCACATATGTCTACATGTGCGTTTACACTAGCAGATATTCCTATGTTCGCTCCTGGAACACCATGTGAACAGATATGTACCTACAAATTCAGCGCTTATAAATTGCCATTATGAGTGCACACAGAAATGCAAGCCATTTTTTAGATGTCTGCTCGTTAGGGTATATCTGGTAGAAAAGAAGCAAGCAAATAAGCTGAATATTCATCTCTGATGGGGGAATCACTCTCAAGTCTATGTACTGATAAGAGTAATTAGCAGTAATATACAACGAAGGCACAGGGAAGACAGGAAAATGGAAAGGTCACCCTTCACTTTAACCCCCATGAAAATATAAATAATATATTGTCATGATTAATATGGAGGTTTCTTTGGCTGATGTCTTCAACTGCAGAGCTATAATACTTACAGAAAAACACATGCCATCTTATAAATGTTCTATAATTTAGCAAAGCACCAGGATCTGGAAGCAGAGAACTGCCCATTCCCACTTCATCTCCCTGTATCATTCTACCTCCTTTGCTGTTTGTGAATTTTTGAATTAAACTCAAAGTACCTGACCTACTTGAGGCTAAAGTCACCTTGGCAGTTATAGCAAAGAAAACCTCTCAAAACCACACAGAAATGTCCCTGTTCCAAGAGGAATGAATAAGAGGCTGAATGGTACTAGCGCTGCCCATGGTAGGTGCTTCCCTGCTCATCCCGGCTGGCTCTGCAAACGACCTCCTTCCCTTCATCCAGCAAGTCCACTGCTCCTTACCTGGCTTCACCCCCCATGGCAAAGTCTTTTTCATCTCCACTCTCCTTCAAAAAAGTCCAAAGTTATTCCAAGGTCAGGGAAGCAATGCCAGTTTGCAAGAAGAGAGGAGGCAGAGAGGATGGGTTGAGAGAAGCAACAGAAAGAAGGGAAAATTCCCAGAATTTGGGAAGGGTGTTGTTTGGGGTTGGGGAAGAGGGGAAAAGTCAAGTAGGCAATGGCCCTAACTGCTTGTTGGAAGGGCATTTCTTGGAGGGGTAAAGCTTTCTTATAATTAGAGGTGGCCACTGCTGTACATTCACACTGCGTACGGGTGAGCAGCCCCTGGGTGAGGAGTGTCTGTTCCTGGGGATCCAGCGCGGGAACTGGCAGGCCGCAGGGCTATATCAATATGGCCCATCACCACTGCAGAATTGGGCCCCATGCCGGGCCTCAATTTTGTGAGTCAGTTGCTTTTTCCAGCATTCTTTTCAGAAAAGTTTCCAGATTTCATCAGTGTCTGAGGCAATTTGTGGAGTCCGACGTCTGACACCAGACCCCTAAGTCTCTTTAGAACATCCTGCTCTTTCCTCGAGCACTTTGTGGGGCTGCCACAAGTTCATTTGTAAAACCATGTTTCAGCTGCCTGCAGAAACAACCAACAGCTTCTGCAACAAGACTAAAACCCTTTGCCATGTCCCTATGAGACGAATTTATCCCCTCTGTCCATAACACTTACTTGGTAACATTAATTTTTTATATACTTTTAAAAATTATTAAAATACACCAATCTTGGCCTCTAAATATCTGTACAGAAGCTGCAACAAAACTCACATATAAAGTATGCTCTGAAATAATGATTACAGACTATATTAAAGTGACTAAACATTAAGAAAGCATCAATGGCAAATATTCTGGGCTTCCTTTTTAGCTGTTTAAGAAAAAGTTATCCCAGTCCTCTTATAGAAGTAGCTGGTTGTCTGCTGTTTGGCAGCACTTAGAGAAAAGTCCTAGTTGAAAATCATGCATTTCTTTTCATTTTAAAACCTGTCTTTGCGGAAGATGACATTAGACGCCAGTTTCTTCTCAGATTACCTGCATGCCCTTTTTCCGTTGTAACCAATCTTCCTCGGCTCCTCCTATAATTCCTTGGCTCTCTCTTATGATCCATGACTCCTGTCAAATTCAAAAGGATTTTTCTTTCTCACCTTTCCCTTGATCCATGACTCCTGTCAAATTCAAAAGGATTTTTCTTTCTCACCTTCCCCTACCATCCTCCAGTTAGCTAAATTGTATAGTAACCTCTTGGGATTAAACTAGTCATCAAATTTACAAGCTAGAAGGCCTAAGGTGCTTTTTCATTGTAATATTGCAGTTTTCAGGGAGCTGAAAAGGAATTCTCCGTGTCACCCAAAGGCCTGAAATTCCGAAAATAGGAACCTCCCTCTGCTTCAGACATCTCCAACACCCTGCCTTCCTAATTCACCCGTTACTGGTGCCATTACCTCACACTTGCACAGACCAGTGACAGTGGCACCTCAAACCTCTCCACTACTGCATCTTTGAGCTGAAAATCAGGCGGCAGAGCTGAGAGGGAGAGAAGAAAGAAGAAATGCATGTGAAAGCAAAATGATTTGTCCAACTATATTTCACTTCATTTCCTGGGTTGAGATTTTCGGAGGAAGCTGTGGTCCCCATTTTCATCTGCTCATAGAGAGAAAAAAAATACAAGTGCCACCGACAGTATAGTCAGTTTGATTGCCTGCAGGAACTGCTCCCTTGCAGATGTTTTTCTAAATGGTTGCAAGGCTGCAGCACTGGAGATACCACAGCCTTGGGGTTCCTTTTGAGCACTAGTTTATTCTAAAATATGACCTGAAATGCATACCAAAAATGAGCTGGGAAAGGAAAGGCTTCCCTTTACCTTTTTGCTGTGGAGGAGACTCATTCCCTTTCCAGAGTCCTCGTAGATGTTCTTCCTGCACACCGTTACCTTCTCTCCCCATGGCCGCTTTCTCTTGCTCTTCTAAGCATCTGGCCAACTCTGCAAGGCCGTCGCGTGCTTTTGGAGTGGCCATTAATGGTAGCAGCAGCAGGATCACTTGGGAGGAGATGGCAGAAATGGTGTGGAACAGGGTGGAGCGGGATCTGTTGTCTCTGATTCTGGCGCTTGAAAAGAAGGAACGGAAACAGGCAGGTGTCCTTAATAGGAGATTTCAGAAACATATATATTTTGTTCATATTTAATTCTGAAAATGGAAGGCAGTTGGAGGACATGGAAGGACAGAGCATGAGGTGGACAATGTTTTAAATCTTTATATTTCCTTAAAGCACTTAAAATATGTTCTCATTAAGCGTATGGTAGAACTTCCCAAATTTGATACTGATTTTTGAACTTGCAATTTATGTGCCTCAATATCTATATGAAACATGTAATAACTACCATTAGTTTTGGACTTCAGGTAGCCATTTTTCATGCTTTTATCACAAATATCATAATTTATCAAATATCAATATTTTTCTTAAGTTTCTTGAATTGTAAAGAATATGTGAGAATTTCGGTTTTTATAACAGTTTTCTAGTGCTTATTGCTGGAAGCTTGAAAGTCGAAACAAAGACATGAATGTCAGAAAGCAAAACTTTCTGTAACGATTTTTAATATTGTTGCTGGTGATGCTGCAACAGTAAATGGGAAACCAGGTTTCAAATCAGGCCTTTAAACGCTCCTCTGTTCCAAGACGGGTGGGTGGTTCAGTGTCATCTTGTCTGTAGTGTCCTTCAACGGCGAAAGGTGTTCCCTCGAGGGACGGAAGGCGCCTTCCGACGCGGCCGCCGAAGCCCCGCCGGGCCGGGGAACGGCGGCGCCGGGGAGCTGCAGTCCCGCCCCGGCGCAGGAGGTGGCAGCAGCCTCCCGGCAGTGGCCCGGAGGCGGCGCCAGGCTGAGGCGGCGCCAGGCTGAGGCGGCTCCGGGGTCGGTTCGCGGGCTCCTCACCCGCGGTCCCTCACAATACCGCGGCCCAGGAGGTGCTGGGGCAGCGGCGAGAGCACGGAGGAGGATGCTCACTGCAGTGAGTGCAGGCGAAGCTGAGGGAAATAACGAGCGCCAATGGTGTTGGGAACGCGCCTCGCTGCCTCTCAGGGGTCCTGCGGCCCGGAAAGCTGAAGCGGCCGTTTCAAGGGCTGTGTCACAGGCACCTACGATATTGAGGGTGGGTTTGGGAAACGACTGGACTCTGGGGAACCCCTGGCTATGGCGGGTTAGAAGGTCAGCAGTTTTTTGCTTGCCAAGGGTGGTATAAAACCTTGTGCAGATCCCGTTGTGAAGCTCTTGCTCAGGCAACGTGTAAAGTGTTTGGTTAACGTAAAACACATATTTATAGTGACTTTTTAAAGCGTACTAGAATTTAATAGTTAGTAGCCTGGTTAGTGATGACATGAGTGAATGGATGATAGCACACAAACATTAGCAAGAATATTATAATAGCTGTGGAGGAATTATGAGGACCCTGAGTTCCTATAGCATAAAATATTATTTTGAAGGAAGGGGTATTTTTTCTGTTTTTTTTTTTTTCTTTACAGAAAGTGCAGAATTCAAAATGGAAAATCTGAGATTAAATCTAAAGCTGCTAGCTTACAAGTGAGAGGTGAAAAAGTGGCAGTCTTCATAGTAATACTATTCCACATGGCAACCAGCAATATTTTCCATTCCTGTTTTTCTTTTCAGATGTTTCTTTCTGGTACTGCTGAACTTCTCGCCCTCTTGAATGCTTTGCTTTTTGATACCAGAAGCACTGCAAGCTCATCCTTCCTGAAAGGGGCTATTTATTCAGTGAAGCTTTTGTCAGGCCACTTATGTAACTTCAAAACCAATTCCCAGTGCTTTCCTTTCGCTGCCTTTTTGTGGGAAGCATCTGGATTCTTGGACTGAACAGATATTATATAAATACAACACACTGTGCTGCTATATCAACATCAGTTGCTGCAGTTGGATCACCAATGCTGTACAGCTGCAAAAAGGAAATGGCCTTGACAAATAGGATACGCAGGATTTTTCCAGTACAGTATTTAGAAAGAGCTGCCACGTGAAATCCCCGTTAGGCAGTAGCACTACTAAGATAAAGGCGAGCTACATAAAGTACCACAGCAGCAAATGTGAATCTCTCACTTTCTAACTGAATTCTTGCTTGCTGCAGTCATCACCATGCCTAAGTGAAGAACAGCAAAACGTATTGGATTATCAGGCATAGGAAAGCTGATGACTGATAGAGAAAAGCAACTTTACTCCAAGGCACAGATGGGAAGCACATACTGTCCTGAATTTGTCTGCTTTTCCTTTAGAGAATGACAAGTATTTAGCATTATACGTCCCCTGGGTTTCAGTGTTGAACCATGAATGTTAGCCGCGTGTAACATTTCAAAGCAATTGCACTGTTAGCACAATTACAAACACACTTGATTAAACCATCCTACACTATGAAAAGAAGTTACAAACAAGAGATTCAGGGCCAGTTTTTTTCCTTGGCATAGACCTGTTCAGAAGGCTTCAAGTGGGTCAATTTACGGGCAAATCTAGGAGAGAGCTGACGTGGTGATACAAACTGTGTTGTTGAGTGAGTAAATTATACTCCATCGCTAAATTATTTTTTCTTTTCCCTCTTTGTTTTCCTAGGACTAAGCAGTGGAGTTTGTGTTACTTGTGCAAACCAGCAGGGAGAGTTTGCAAGACAGAAGTCCTGACACTACTCAAACATGCAGTCATATGCTCAGATCATTCCATGCTCTTTCCAGTAAGGATGATGGCACCCAGCTCCATCAAATAAGCCACACATGGCCCATTGCTAGTAAAAATACTCTTTTTCCATTAATGGATCCTGACAGGAGGGAAGAGAAGAATCAGCCCACAACCTACTGTCTTGAGGTTGCCATTGACAAAACATTTTACCTAAATATTTTCAGGCATTTGATGAGTATCCAGTATCAGATGGATTGGAAAAGGAATAGAAATGACAGGAAGATTGTGAAGATTTTTGGGAGAGACCTGAAAAATGAAAATGTCTTTTCCAGATCTTTCCAACATTCCTCAAGTTGGCCAAGAAAGGGAAGGCATTTTGCATCTAAAGACTATTTTAGTAGAGAATCCAGAAAGTGCTACTGGGGAAAAAAACTTACCTTTGAAAACATCTTGGCTATCAAAGGAAAGAATTAGACTGTCACTTGGACTATTAAATTATTTGAAATATGAAGGATACTATTGAAAGGGGTATTGGAGATGATGGATTATACCTATTTGCTACACAGTGGCAAAATAGATGCATAGTAGCATGGTTTCTAGTGTGCCTCTTTTTTATTTCTAGTGATTTATTGGCAGAAGGCCTGTAAAAATAATGGAAAATCAAACAAAGCAACCAGTTAGTTCAAAAATGATAGCACTAATACTCTTAACCTGTTTGAAAGCTGTATTTTAATTTTAAATAACATTAGTCGCTTTTTAAATAGGGTATTGTACGCTTTGTCCGTGGTCAGAGCAGGTACATGGTGTTTGCATAACTCACAGGGTACAAAGCGCTCTCTGCTATTTCTGGATGCTCAGAACACCGCTGAACCAAGATTGCATATTTATAATGCACGTTTTCTTCTTGAAGCTCATGTATACCTCTGATTATAATTCCTACAAATTACTTGAATGCCTCCGTGCAGTTTAAAGTCATGTGTCAAAGTCAAGTCTTTTTAAAGAAGTAATTTGCAGAAAATGAAAATACACTAAGCCTTTTTATCTTAAATCTCGCCCTCTCAGCAGAAGAAAAGGATCTGAGTAGAAGAATACAAACCTGCTCTTATGAAAACCAGTGGAAAATGTATAAGAGGAAAAAAATACATCAACTGCTAGCATTGGCAATCTAAATCTTTTGGACCCTCTAAGACTGAGGATTAAGAGAATGTATGTTCTGCTGATGAGCTATCTCCGCTGATGGAGAAGGAACAGCCTGAAAATGTATGAAAATTTAGGGGGTACAGTCTAAAAATAATTTACCAGAAAAAACAAGTTTTTAAAAGCCCCATTTCAAAAGTCTGTTTTTACAATGAAGGATGTGAAGTTACTCATCAAGTGCTTAATCACAATCTTCTATAGTTTCTTGGCTGCTTGCTAATATGAGTATTACCATCCAGACTGATTTATTTGGCTCAGCTCTTCCCTTGATGGCTTGAATGATTTACTATCCATCCTTCTGAGAATACAGGCTCCAGGAACACTTGTTCCAATCTGTAGGACATGCATGCGCCTTGCCTGCTCTGAAGAAGGATTTTTTTTTTTTTTTTTGGCTTTCTTATCCTTTGGATCAAACTGCTGACAAAAAAACACGCATAGGTTGTGAGACAGATGTTGCGCGTGCCATTTGGTCCAGTTAAAATACTACAAGCATACTAAGGTTTGCTGAGGACTGCATATCCTCTTGCATCAGGGAAGTTGAGAGTAACGAGATTCAGTAAGTTTATCTACTTTTACAACAGATAGTAGGTCTGTGACAGCTGGGCTAGGGACAGCATGAATTTAGTAGGGCACACACCATATTTTGAGAGGAATAAGTGTAATGTGTATAAGATCAGAAGCAATTCCATCATCTCCTTGGTCTCTTTAGCCATCCTTTGGTAAGCATGTTTAAGATTTCAGAGTTTAAGAGACTTGAACTCAGTCTGTCAGGTTAAAGACGAAGCAGTCCCTACTCTGTGCCTGCCTTTGCCTGCCTGGAGAGGCTCCTGGTTTGCTCCAGACCACCCTGCCAACACCTATGCAGTGTGAACCAGTGGGCGGCTTGGGCTCAGGTGACCATATACTGGGGAAGGGATTCCGCTCCCTCCTGTTGGAGGGATTTCTGCTCTTCTCTCACTCTTGGCTTAGGGTGCCGTGCCTTTGCTTTCAGCCCTCTTCTTCCCCTCATTCATGCAGGAACTGTGAGGAGCAGAGGGAGCAGGCAGCTTGCTTTAATTGAAGCACTGTTTTGTATTAACAATAGCAGCATAATAACACCTAAGAGAAAAGGATTTTAAGTAGCAGAATTTGATATCATGTGTGTGTGTACCTGCCATCCTGATCTCAAGCAGACTTCAATTCCCTAAAGACTGTGGGCTGTTCCCCTGCTCCAAACTGCCCCACTCTTCTGGCGCTGTATGCCTGCCTTGCTTTTAACAGGCTCTCACCTCCTTACAGCATACGTCCTTTTAATTTGCTGTGTTCATCAGTTTGCTGATCACTTTCTGCTGTGTTCACAAGAAAGCCTATTCCAGTGAGTTCAGCAGTGGCTTCAGGGTAAAGCATCTAAGTCAATAGCCTTTCTGTCAATGGTGTTAGCAGATTTGCAGCCTTCAGCCACTGTCATATGTCCTGCTTATTCTTCCAGTGTGCTGTTAAACTAAATCAACAGATTTATACAGAAATACACCAGTAACAAGCACACAGTCAAACTCTATTCAGAAAATAACAGAGAGCAGCTGTGATATAGGAGGAGTTAGTAATGCTAACCTTGAAATTGCTGGATCATTCTCTTGTCATTCTTTAACTTGAGAAATGAAATAACAAGAAGACAACTCCTTTGAGCTGAATTTGGTGTTATTCATGGTTAAGACTTTTCTGTTAAATGGGAGTTTTGACTTAGAAGTCCACTCCCAGCTCTTTATTTTATTAGAGAGAGAGTAATTGAATGTTGAAATAGAAGCAGGCAGGTAAAACAATTGGAAGCTCTCCTGGATCTGTAAGTGTAATGTTGGATTTTCTAGTCTAGACTCTGCTTTCCTGACTAATATGTTTGTATATACTTATAGAAATAACCCTTTATTCTATACAATTTGAGTACATGCACTGTTTTGTCTGCTTTTTCTCTTCTTTTTTTCATGTATGAGGGATGCTCAAAATCATACAGTCAGAAAAGCTAACCTGTTTTACATTTTATGTGTGTAACATAGGAGTGCCAAAGG